CTCTGGTACTGGATATTGAACCCAGGGCCTTCGTACTGTAGCCCAGGCTGGTCTCAAACTCACAGTGATCCTCCTGCCTCAGCCTCCTGAGTGCTGGGATTATAGATGTGTGCCATCACACCTGGTGAAAAACTTTGTTTTAAAGGACTGGGACTGTAGCACAGTACGAAGGCTGACCTCGAACTCACAGTGATCCTCCTGCCTCAGCCTCCCAAGTGCTGGGATTACAGGCATGTACCAACATGCTGGCCATGGGGCTTGTTCTTTAACCTCTGTCTCAGCTTCCCCATCTATGAGGGTTTATAAACTGGGCATGGTGGTACAGCCCGTAATCCCAGCGCTTGGGGACTGTGGCAGGAGAATCTTAGGAAGTGCCGGGTCATGCTGGGCTACCCTGTCTCTAACACCAAACCAAAAAGAGGGGGGAGGTTATAACAGTGTAAGCAAAAAATGGATAAAATACATGCAGAACGCAAAGAGCAGCTCCTAGCACATTGTAAAGCACTGTTTAAATGTTCGTCATAATTGCAATTATGTTGGCCAATGGTCCTTACAGAGTTTTAATGAAGATTAAAAGATGACAAGAATGAAAGACGCATGCAGAAGGCACAGTGAACGGTGATAGTTTGTTCGGTTTTGGGGGCGCAGGGCCTCATCTGGAGCGGGGCTCGGCAGGAGCCAGCCTGCGGGGAGAGGAGCTTGTGGCCGACCGGGAGGTGGGAGCCCTGTAGCCTTCAGGAGGCCTGGGGGGCAAGGCCTGGATAGCCACAGCGTTCCTGTCCTGTTCGGCCTGCTGCCCTTGGGCGCGTCCCCCGCAACCTGCTGTTCCCTCATCTGTGAAATGGGGACAGTGATGTTTGCTCTTTTTTTTCTCATGGGGCGATGGTGGTGAGGATCAAAGGGCTTATGGATGTAAAAGTGTTTGTAAATGAGCAGGATTAGTGGCGTTCAGCTCTCTCAGTAATCAGGATACCAAACAAATCGCCCTTGGGCCCTTCTACCTTTCTTCCTCCCTCAAGGGCGAGGGAACAGGTAGCCTGGGATATTCCAGGGATGAATCTAAGGGAAATGGCCCTGGGCACAGCAGGAGGGAGCCAAGTTAGACTGCAGGAAGGACTTCCTAAAGCTGGCATGGGAAGGGGAAAGAGACGGAGATGGGAGCGTTCCCAGGCACCTGGCCAGGGCGCCCGGGACCCTGTGAGGCCAGCTGGAGGCTGAGGGAGTGGGTGAAGGCAGAAAACGCAGCAGGGCAAGGCTATGGGCTCTGGCGGCAGAAGGCCTCCTAGGGCAGCTGGGTTCGTGGACTGAGAAGCTAGAAACCATTATGGGAAGCTGGTGGTCCGCAAAGCCGAACCCGCATCTCAGCCTCTCAGACTCGGAGTGTTTGGAGTCCGGTGGAAGCTGCTGTCCCGTCAGGATGCCCAGCGCTCACCTGTGCACCCCTCCTTTGCAGGGCAGGCGTGGGCTGAAACAGAGCCCCCCCCCCCAAGCACATTTTGTTTTGTTTGGTTTTGTTTTGAAACAGGGTCTCGCTGTGTAGTTCAGGCTGGCCTTGAGCTCACTTTGTAGCCCAGGCTGGTCTCAAACTCACAGTGATCCTCCTGCCTCAGCCTCCCGAGTGCTAGGATTACAGGCGTGCGCCACCACGTCTGGCAAAAAGTTGAACAGTTGACTTTTTTTTTGTATCGGGAATCGAACTCAGGACCTTGTGCTTGCCAGGCAGGCACATTTGCCACTGAGCTATGTCTCCGGCCCTTACTGGGGGTTATCTGAAGTGTTTGTGATCTGTGACAGGAATCCTGGAGTTCTGTTCTGCAGGACTCAAGGAAGCTGAGTGGCTTGGAGGCGTCTGGCAGGAGGTCTCCCTTGGGCTGTGCGGGCTCTTCCCGGGGCTGTCAGTTCCACCGATCCCGCGCTCTCTGGGCTGTTTGGATTGCATGTGGGTCCCCCGGCTCTGTCTAGGTTCGATCTGGGCTGTCTGGGTGTGTCTGAGCCTGGTCTAGTGCAGCCTGATCTGTCTGGCTTCTGCTTGGGCCCCATCAGGTCTTCGGGGGGGCTGCACCCCCAGGTGGAGGCCGTTTGGATCCTGTCTTGATTTTATTTGGGCTCTCAAGGCTGGATTCTGCCTGAGTTCTGACTAGATTCTTTCCGGAAATCAGAGCAACTCTGTTTGAATTTCCATGGGGGCTGACTAGGACTCCAGATGCAGTTAAGCTTCAGGGGCTCAGATTTTCCCCCAGACCCCCGTCCCAAGCAGAGAGGAGCATAGAGTCAGGAGTGGGCGGTCCCGGGAGGCCTCCCCGCTCCCCCTTCCCCGCTCTGGGTGAGCACCCAGACCTGAGGCTGGGGCAGAACAGGGCCCTCCCGGGGTCCCCGCGGACGAGGCTGACTTTCCGTGTGTCTGCGCGCCAGCGCACACCTTTGCTGTCGGTCTGCACGCCCGCCAACACCAGCGTGTCAGTGCGTCTCTGCGTGGGTGTCGGGGCCTATTTCTGTGTGCCTGTGTGTCAGCTCTTCTGTCTGTGTCCCCCGTCTGTCTGTCGGTGGTGGTGGTGGCGGCGGCGGTGTGGGTGGGTGAATCCCTTTGTGTCTTTGAGCTCCGCGGGTGGAGGGCTGAGCAGCTGCAGGTTGCAGCTAGGGAACCCGAGCGAGGGAGAGGAGGTGGGTGAGCGGAGGGATTGGCGGAGAACGCCGCCGCCTGGGAGGGGCCGAGAGTGGGCGGGAAGAGGGAGGCGCTGGGAGCCGGAGCTCAGGAGCCTGCGACTCTCACCCGGCGCTCTGTGGGCCTGGCAGTGCGTGCTCAACTTGGCCCGGCCTTGGCAGTGAAGTGACCCTGCCCAGGGGACGTGGCTGGCTGCGCGGGGGCAGCAGGGGAAGAGAATGGGAAGAAATGGAGACCTGGGAGGTTGCCGGGGAGGTCCAGGGTCCTGGGACAGGGCTCAGGGCCTCTTCTTGTTGCAAGGCTCTCCTTCTGTACTCGGTTGTCAGAATACTGAAATGCATCCGTCCTGGCCAGCCAGTGGCAGCTGCTCCGACTGCCATCCCCTTCCTGGATAAATCTGACCCACAAGTCCACACGCATCCCATAAAATGCTTTTTGCTCATTACCTCACGGGTCTTTGGGCTGCCAGCTATCTCGGCCTGCAGGACCTTGCTCCCCAAGACAGCCCAGTCTTTTTTTTTCTTGTCTGAGACAGGGTCTCGCTATGCGGTTCAGGCTGGCCTTGAGCTCACTTTGTAGCCCAGGCCTGTCTCGAACTTGCAAGGATCCTCCTGCCTCAGCCTCCCGAGTGCTGGGATTACAGGCGTGCGCCGCCATGCCCTGCCTGACAGCCCAGTCTTCATCCTCATTTAGTCCTCTCAGCGTCCCTCCTGCCTACCACCCCAGGCCCCTCTCTAAGCCTGCAGAGGAGGGGAGTGGGTAGCAGGTAGAGGGCCAGAGCGCTAAAGTACCCGTCTTGGGGAGCAAGGTGGGGGTTGCCTGTGGATCCACCTTCCTTTGCTTCGCAGGCGAAAGACAGTGACGATGAGGAGGAGGTGGTTCACGTGGATCGGGACCACTTTATGGATGAGTTCTTTGAACAGGTAACGAGTCCCCAGCGCCCCCAGACCGAGCGCCCTTCCCCTAGCCAGCTGCTCCCTTTGCTCCGTGCACCCGCTTCCTGCTCCTCACCCGCCTTGGTCTTGTATGAACCCCGCTGGGTCCAGCCCGTCTCCCTGAGCCCTGGCAGGTCCTTTCATCTGGCCGGGCAGCGTGGCCAAGTGTTGCCAGTTTTCTGCCCTAGGTGGAAGAGATCCGGGGCTGCATTGAGAAGCTGTCGGAAGACGTGGAACAGGTGAAAAAGCAGCACAGCGCCATCCTGGCCGCCCCCAACCCAGATGAGAGTGAGTGCCAGTGCCGCCGCGGGGCGGGGGGCGGGCTGCGCCCTCCCCAGATTTCTCACTTCGTCCGCTTCCCTCAGAGACCAAACAGGAGCTGGAGGACCTCACTGCCGACATCAAGAAGACGGCCAATAAGGTTCGGTCCAAGTTGAAAGGTGAGGAATGCGACCCTGCTACGGGGCAGAGGAAGCCCTTTGTCCTCCCAGGGCCAGAGCAGGCAGATTCCTCAGCAGTGAGAGAGCACAGCCGCTCCTTAGATCTGCCCCACTGATTCAGAGTCTTGGGAGAAACGTGTGGTGGGGAAAGGAGGGAGGCGAGGGCTTCTCTCCAGATTGCATCGGAGCTCTGCTGGTTCCGCGAGTGTGAAGATCTATCAGAAAAATGCCGTCTTCCAGGCGGCATTGGTTTTATATCCTTGTTTCTCCTGTGGAGAGCCGAGCACCCCGTAGGTGGGCTCCGCGAATGCTTCTGAGCTGCTATCCGCGGCTCAGGACAGATTGGACCGTGTGGCTGACATCAGGGGCTGGCACGTTTTCAGGAGGGCCTTGCCAAAAGCTCATGCAGTCACTCTAATTTAAGGACTTGGGTGCTGGTAATAACCACCTTCGCCCAAAGCACTGTGGGTTGGGAACCTCCTTGTCTGCAGTGCCAGGGGAATGGCAGTGGTACCGGGATGCTAATTTGTGTGTGCCTGATAATTCAGCCTGAGAAAACAGTTGCCTGGCACCTACAGTGTCGAGGCCCATTGCTAGGTTTTGCGAAAAGGCGCTTCATCAGCTGCCTGACTGGGAGCCTCCGACCTTGGCCCCGGGAGATGGGACGGAAGCTCCATGTCCTCCTAGACTCAGGGAAGGCCAGGTGGAAGCGTCGGATGCGGATTTGTAAAAACGAGCCCTGGGCACTCAGGTGAGCGTGCTGGAATGGAAAATGCCCCAACCCGGGATAACATGAAGGCACATCCAGGCAGTGTCCTGTCCTCAGCTTGCTCGGCAGTACAGGAAGGGCCAGGCATGGTGGCGCATGCCTGTAATCCCAGCACTCGGGAGGCTGAGGCAGGAGGATCGTTGCGAGTTCCAGACCGGCCTGGGCTACAAAGTGAGCTCGAGGCCAGCCTGAGCTGCATATTGAGACCCTGTCTCAGAAAGACAAAAAAAAAAAATCAGTACAGAAGAGAAATGGAAGCAGTTTCAAAGCCTGCTCCCGCCCTGCAGAATCTTTTTTCCAGATGAAATCTAGCAAAGATTCCAATAGGTAAAACAAACCCCGCACATATGCAAGTCAGGTGTTCTGGCTAAGGGATGGGAGCTCCTCCCTGCTGGCCTCCCCTTCAGTCCCTGCAAGAGCCCCAAGGTTCCCCTTCAGAAGCAAGGCTCCTGCTAGCACAGTTTACAAGCCACAAAGCTCCGACCTTGAACCCTCTCCAGAAGACGGCAAGGAGAGCTGTAAGTTTGGGGGTTCAGAAACAGACCCAGGAAGACAAGAGAAACGGCAGAGGTTTGAGAAGCTGGCCCTCGCGGTCTCCAGAAAAAGAGAAAAGATTTTCATCTTTTCCTTCTCCTTCCTCTTGGAGGCACGAGCTGAGGCTCTGAGCGTGACCTTGGAGGAGCTGTTCCACTCCTTTGAACCTGTGTCTAGTCTGGAAGACGCGCTGCTGTCCCTCACCCCTGGGATGTTGTGAAGTCAGTGAGATCCGTGAAAGACCCTTCGCTGTAGACTTGGTCCAGCCCCAAGTCTGCCAGCAGGGCCCCAGGCTGGGCCAGGAGATTCCAGCGTCCCTGACTGCGTGCGCCTGTGCTTTTCTTAAATCGGCTGGGCCGTGGCTGTCACTCAGTCACTATGCCTGCTGCTGCTGGCAGAGAGGCCTCGGGGTGCCATCCAGCCCCACGCCTCCCCCGCTGCCAGCAGAACAGAAGTGATGTTCTCAGGAACGGCCTGGAGGCCCTGGGAGGTCTGAGCAGGACGGGTGATTCATCCCTGCTGCATTTTCTATCTTACTGAAGTAGATCTGACTGCAAGCTCTTTTTCAGGAAATCTGAATGATAGCGTCAGAAGCACATGATCCAGGAGCAGGAATCCCAGATAATCCGCACACTTGTGCAGAACATCCTGTGGAAGTGGGAACTCCTGGGACAGGAATCACCTGGCAAGGCCGGGGAAGGGCTGTCTTCTCTGTGAGAGCAGCCATCTGTTTGCCCTGAAATTCTTCAGGGATTGGGTGGCCACCAGAATGCAAACCAACTGGATGCCTGCTTTCCACCAAAAAAACTCATAGGGCTAGGCCGGGTGTGGCGGCGCACGCCTGTAATCCCAGCACTCTGGAGGCTGAGGCAGGAGGAGCATAGCGAGTTTGAGACCAACCTGGGCTACAAAGTGAGCTCAAGGCCAGCCTGAGCTGCATAGCAAGACCCTGTCTCAAAAAGACACAAACAAACAAACTCACAAGGTAGCCTATCGTGGTGGAATAACAACGTCCCCAGCTGGGTTTTTGCCCCTGTCCAGGGGCTGTAGGAAGTGGAGACTTGGTGCCCATTCATTAATGGACAGGGTCCACCTCCCTTCACTGGCTGGGCAGAAGTTGTGGCTGCTGGCACTTTCCAAGCCCCACCTTCCATCAGAACAGATAGCCCCCTTCTAGCTGGCAACATCTGACCCTCAATCGCCCCTCACACACACACACACACACACACACACACACACACACACACACTTGCCTTCGGGACCCCCCACCCGGGGTATGGCAGCTCTTTCCAGGCCCAGAGCCTGCCTCGGGGTGTCGACCCCTCTTCAGGACCCCCGGCCCTGCGTGCCCCAGCTCTCCCCCGTCACTGTGCCCTGTCTCCGCAGCGATCGAGCAAAGCATCGAACAGGAGGAGGGGCTGAACCGTTCCTCTGCCGACCTGCGCATCCGCAAGACGCAGGTAGGAGGCGGCAGCCCAGGCCGGAGCTTCGGGGTGCGGCGGGGCTCAGCGAGGGTTGCGCCTAGCGGCTCCTTCGGGTCGCCTGCGGGGTCACGCGCGGGCTGGGGGTGCCTGGTGGGGGAGAAGGGGACTGAACTTGCCAGGCGGCGGGGTCTCGGCCCGAGCTGAAGGAAGGATTGTACACTAACGCAGCCTGTCCTGTCCCCCCATCCGCCCGTCCACACACCGCCTCCCGACCCCAGCACTCCACACTCTCCCGGAAGTTCGTGGAGGTAATGACCGAGTATAACGCGACCCAGTCCAAGTACCGGGACCGCTGCAAGGACCGGATCCAGCGGCAGCTGGAGATCAGTGCGTGTGCCCTCCCCACACCCCGGGTCTGCCCCAGGGCCCTTTCTCCTCCCGCTGTGGAGGGAGCACCAGGCCTCAGGCCGGGGGAGGGGGCGCCGGGGACCCTGCCCCGTCCCAGCCCCCGGGGCCTCTGGCGGGCGGCCCTGAGTGCTTCTCCCCGCAGCCGGCAGGACCACGACCAACGAAGAGCTGGAGGACATGCTGGAGAGCGGCAAGCTGGCCATCTTCACCGACGACGTGAGCCCCGCGGGGTGGGCGGTCTGGTCTGGAAAGCACCCTCCCTGTCCCGGAGGTCAGGGCGCACCGGGTTCCTGAGCGGGGGACCAGAGCCTGGGGATCTCCGCGGAGGCAGGGCAGGAAGGCAGCTCCGTGCGAATGGCACGGTGCCGGCACTCCGCGCTGCGCCCGCTAACCTTCACCTCACCCGGTCCAGAGCGCTGCGGGGGGGCCGCTGCACCGAGGGGGAAAACCAAACCGGAGCAGGTGAAAGAGCACAGAGCCTCAGGCCTCTGGGCAGGGACCCTGTTGGAGGCCAGCTCTTCAGCGCTGGGTTCCCGTACGAGCCCCCACCCTTCCTGGAACCACATCATCGCCCTCTGACTCATTTGTCTGCGTTTGGGAGGTTTTTCTTTCTTTTTTTTCTTTAAGTTTTACTTTTGCACTTTGCAATTGTTTACATGTGAATGGATGGGCTTTCCCCTAAATGCAGTTCTTCTTTCTCCTTTGGACTTTTGCCCCGCCCTGCCCAGCCCTGTCGGTGTAGGGTTCTGGTGGCCAAATGTCTCTGGGTGGTGGTTTCACCCAGGTTTACAGGCTGTATCCTGATTGTTTAATCGCCTTCAGTGAACTGTTATTGGGATAATTGGTCTTTAGTAAATTAATTTAGGACGAATTGATTGTGAGCCAGTTGGCCTGGAACATCCCCAAGCAGCTCTGGCCAGGGCGTCTTGTCTGTGCAAGAATAGAGGGAAAGGCTGGGCATGGTGGCACACGCCTATAATCCCAGCACTCGGGAGGCTGAGGCAGGAGGATCGTTGCGAGTTCGAGACCAGCCTGGGCTACAAAGTGAGCTCAAGGCCAGCCTGAACTGCATAGCGAGACCCTGTCCCCAAAGACAAAAACAAAGAGGGAAGCTTGGTGGGTGGTTCCCAGGGGCCACTTCAGGGGACTTGAGCTGACCCCTGCGAACTGGCCCACTGTGGCCACGGTGGAAACCCACCATTATGAGGCAGGGTACTCAGGCCTCGGCTGAGGGAAGTGAACCTGCAGGTGAGCCCTGCGGTGTTTGTTGAGGCTGAGTAACACTGGAGTCAAGGAAGGCTTCCGGAGGGAGGTATCCTCGAGCTGCACCTTGGGAGGCAGGCAGCTTTTGGGTGTGGGGACACCGAGAGAGAACGGGCTTAGCAGGGACAGGGAGAGGGAACCCCTTGCTAAGCAGCCATTGGCTGATTTTGGCTCTCGGGCGATGAGCAGGAGGTATGGGCGGAAAGGGAGACAGGGCCTTGACTGCCAGAGGGAATGCGCGGACCTGGAGAGCTAGGGCGCTCTGCTGGGCTCTGCCGTGAAGCAGCGGCTTTTTGTGGTCTAAAGGATGAGTGGGAAGTGAGGCCAGCTCAGGGTGGGAGTCGGTGGGGGGAGGGAGACCTGCTGTGAGCCGATCCCCTCACCCACAGGGCTGTGTGGATGTCGTTATTTATCGCCCACCTCGTCTCATACAGGCCCAGGCGCGGGGGCACGCTGCCTCCTCCCCAGGGCCACGTGTCTGCTTGCTGCTTCTCACCTGCTTGTTCCCCTGGCCGTTTTATGGTCATTTCTCTTCCTGGGTATCTCTGTGCCAGAAGCCCTGGGGCGAAGTGGAGGAACTCCACACAAGTTGTTTTGTTTTGTTTTGTTTTTCTGGTACCGGGAATCGAACTCACGACCTTGGGCTTACCAGGCAAGGCACTATGCTGCTGTGCTAAATCCCCAGCCCCTCCAGACAAGTTTTAATTCTTTTTTTTTTGTCTTTTTGAGACGGTCTCGCTATGCAGTTCAGACTGGCCTTGAGCTCACTTTGTAGCCCAGGCTGGCCTCGAACTAGCAACGATCCTCCTGCCTCAGCCTCCCGAGTGCTGGGATTACAAGCGTGTGCCACCATGCTTGGCTAGTTCTTTTTTCTTTTTTATTTATTCATTTATTTTTGGAACCGGAAGTCAAACTCAGGACCTTGCACTTGCCAGGCAGGCGCCATGCGTGCTGCTGAGCTATGCCCCTAGCCTAAGTTTTAGTTCTTGTACTTTAACAATCTTCTCTGTAGCGCTCTCACTGTGCACCAGCTAGTGTTCCGATTGATGCACACACATAACTCACTCCACCTGCACAGCAGCCTGTGAAGTGGAAACTGTCATGTGCACACTTTCCAAGTGGGGAAACTGAGGCCCAGAGAGGCTAAGTAATTTGCCTGTGGTTACAGCTAGTAAATGATACCCAGCTGGGCGTGGTGGCGCACACCTATAATCCCAGCACTTGGGAGGCTGAGGCAGGAGGATCGTTGCAAGTTGGAGACCAGCCTGGGCTATGAAGTGAGCTCAAGGCCAGCCTGAACGGCATAGCGAGTCCTTGTATCAAAAAGACAAAAAAAAAAAAAAAAGAAAAGAAAAAAAGATACTCAGATTTGAACCCAGAAACTCTGACTGCTGAGCCGAAGTTCATACAGGGGCAAAAGGTGACCCCCTCACCCGTCGCCCTAGATCAAAATGGACTCCCAGATGACAAAGCAGGCCCTGAACGAGATCGAGACGAGGCACAACGAGATCATCAAACTGGAAACCAGCATCCGCGAGCTGCACGACATGTTTGTGGACATGGCCATGCTTGTGGAGAGCCAGGTACGGGCTCTGTCCTGCTGCCCCGGGGCTTCCCTGGGCCCTGAGGGTCCCTCTTCCAGCCCCCCAATTCCTCCCTCCCCTGCCCCTCCTCTGCCCACAGGGTGAGATGATTGACCGCATCGAGTACAACGTGGAACATTCCGTGGACTATGTGGAGCGAGCCGTGTCCGACACCAAGAAAGCTGTGAAATACCAGAGCAAGGCGCGGAGGGTGAGCCGGGCGGCCGAGGGGCGGGTGGCGAGGCGATGATGCCATCGGGTGAGAGACCTTATCTCCAGCTCTGACCTCTTCCTGTTTCTGTCTCTTCTCCCTCCTTCCCTCCCCGCCACCCGCCTGCTGGTTTGTCTCCCTGCACCGCTCCGGCTGCTCCTCTGTCTCTCCCTCTCTGCTGTTTCTGTCTCGCTCTCTTTTTTCTACCTGCAGAAGAAAATCATGATCATCATTTGCTGTGTGGTGCTGGGGGTGGTCTTGGCGTCATCCATTGGAGGGACGCTGGGCTTGTAGGCCCCCCGCCCTTACCCCTTCCGGGCCCCTCCCCCAGCACATTGGGAGCAATACCCCCACCGCCCCTTTCACTCCATCCCCTGCTCCGAGCTCACCCCCGAAACGGACCCAAGCAGCCCCCTCCCTCTCCCACCCCCACGGCAGACCCTGGAGTCCCTGGACCTCACCCCGCCATGGACCACCCGCCCCTGCCCCGCACGTAGATAGCAGCAGGCGTGATCACACATGCACACCAACATGCATGCCGCCGGCACATGCTCGAGACGTGTGGACACCCCAGCGTGTGTGTGCGTGTAGGTGTATGTAGACACACATCGCCCCCCTGCCCCGCCCTGAGTCTGTGGTCTGAGCTTCGTCGCTGGGATCGTGGTGTTGACTGAGTGTAACAGCAGCCCACCACACCCCTTGTTCTCTGTGAATAGTGTGTGTGTGTGTGTGTGTGTGTGTGTGGCCAAGATCTGTGGACGCACAAGCTGTGTGTGCGGAATTCTGTGTTGGAGTGTTTGCACCTCATGTTACGTCCATCCCCCCACCAGCCCCTCCTCCCTGTCTGCTCTAAGCGGAGCGGCAGTGTGTGCAGATACTCACGTTCTAGAGGACCCCGGGAGGCCCAGAGACTCACAGGCCGTGGCAGACACCCCGCACGATACAGAACAAACCCGCCTGGCCAGTGCAGGGGTTGCTGTGCGACTGTGTGTGTGTGTATGTGTGTGTGTGTGGGGGGGCTGTAGAGGTGAGTGGAACTATACACGTGTAATAGCTTGGCCTGTAGACTCGTGTTTTTCCCAGTAGATGTGAGGGGTGCGTGTGTGTGTGTGCATGTGTGCGCAAGCTCACACACTGGAAGTGTTGGTAGGAGTCCTCCACACTGTGGACCAGACACCTGTTGAGGGTGGATACAGATCTATTTCTGTGCTACCTGGATAGCTGTGACTATCTGGATACAGCTGTGACTGTGTGTATGTGTGTGTGTGCGCGCGCGCGTGCACGCGTGCATATGTTTAGGGGCTTTCTACATAGTGTTTTTGCCCCCTGCGTGTCACGCACGCTTATGGTTAAGGACACGTGCCCCATCCCTCCAGGTTCGTTTAGCCAGTTTTCTTTGACCCCGCCCCCTGCCAGGGGCCCTGACCTGTGTCTGGCATGGCCACACACGCCGCTCCGTCAACATTGAGCAACTGGAGCTTCCCACCGTGCCACGTGCGGTCCCTTGTGCACAGCGCTTTCATCCTGATCTCTGTGTCTGTCAAGGACAGGTCTGAGCTTGTGTCCCCCCGAGCCCCTCAGGCCAAGGCCGAGGAGGGCCCTCGGAGGTGGCTGCGTCCAGGCTGCACGCAGGCACCCTAGAGCGCATGCGCTGCCGCCAGCGTGGTGCCCGCGCAGGCCTCCGCCATCTGCGCGCGGACCCCGCCCGGGAGGTCTGTTTGTGGGGCTGTTAGTGGAGAGGCAAGGTGTCCAGGGCTGCCTCGGACGAGGGGAAGGTCAGGACATTGTCCCTGCCTGCCTCCCTGCACCCCACTGGTACCTGGAAGAAGCCACACTCCGCCTCTGCCCCGTTCAGCGCGCGAGGCACTTGCACGGGGACGGGTAGTTGTGGCGGTCACCCAGGGTGTGCAGTCCCCTGGGCTTGTCCCGTGGTGGGACTCGTGCCGGGCAGGGCTGGCGCCTAGCTCGAGGTGGAGACGGCGTACGTCGTCTGTGGGTGGGTGCTTTGGTGACAGGGAGGAGGCGCAGGGACAAAAGGCGGCCCTGAGCCCCGGGTGCGCAGGCTGAGCGCCGAGTCCGTGCAGGGCGCGCGCCGTGCATGCATCGCGGGCGGTGGGCTCCAGCGTGTGCAGGCCCCGCCTTCTTCCCGCATCATGGCAGCGCGTGCGTGCACGGTGGCGGGGGCTGCAGGTGTGACCAGCCAGCCTCTTCATTCTTGCCCGCCCCCCGCCTGTATGGACCCCGCGGGTCAGCTGTCCTGAGGAGGGGCGCCCGCCTGTCCTTGCCCACGTGTTCTTCCCCAGGACAGGAGTCCACCCGTAGTCGTGACTGCAGCTTCCTACTCCCATCCCAGGCGTCTCCCTATCCCCGGCCCGGCCCGCTACTTCCTTCCTGCAGTGCGCTCAGCACCTCCTCTCAGCCCAGGTGTTTCCCAAAGCCCCCCCACCCCAGCCTTGCAGTTCGCAAAGAAAAGGGTGGCGCTGTGGCTGCCCACCTCTGGGCCTGCGGCGGACCGGGGATCCCCGAGGGCCTGGTGCACCCCAGCTTTCTGCAAGTCACGCACCTCGTGTGATGGGTTTGCTTATTGGCCGCTGCCTGCATGTGTGTGTGTTCTGAGTGTGGTCCGGGCCGGTGTCCTGCATGTTCTCAGACAAGGTGTGCTGTCCACCCTCCACGCACCTGCAGCCATCAAGGCCAGGCATACCTGTGGGTGGTCCCGGGCCTGGCCGGGGCGCAGTGTCCCGCTCCCTTCCCTCCTCGTCCCTCCCCCTCACAAAGCACACTGCGTGACCATCCCATGTGCCCGTGGGTCCACGCACGCTCTCGCCACGCCCTGAGCGTGTCCACATGACGTGTTCTATGCATTCACCCCGCCCCAGCCCGCCCCGCGGAGGACAGGATAGGTGGCCCCGGCTCCCCCTCCCCTCCCTGCTGTGCAGCCGTGTGCGTTGGCGTGTGTTTCTGTGTCGCTGGCGTGTCACGTGATGTAGCCGTGTTTGCTGACATGAGCCCCTGCCCCTCCGTTTCTCCGTTGGTTTCTAGAGCTCTCTCCCTGCCCTTCCCAGAGGGGACAGGACTCCTGGGGCCTGGTTGGGGGCCCAGAGCCAGGCCGCCCTCTCCTGTTTGCCCTCAGAGTCTCATTTCTCTCTATTGGTGACCAAGTTACAAATGGATAAAACACAGGAAATTTTGCCCCCCCACCCCAGCCCTGCATGTCCTGTCCCCGGAGCCCCCAACCCCACCCCGGGCCGGGTCGAGTCCCGTGGGACGGGAGAAATAGCAACCAATCCAACAGCGGGTGTGCCGTGTGCTGACTTCCTTCTGTCCCCACGCGGGACAGCGTCGTGGGGAGGCGAGGTCTGGGGAGGTGGCGACAGAGGAGCTGGACAGACAGCTGGACACAGGCTTGGACAAGGATTTTAAGCTGGGGGTTGGCCAGGAACAGCACCATGGGGCCTCCTCAGGTGGAGAGCGAACACAGTTGCGGGCGCTGAGCTAGGGCGGAGGGTCAGCGACTTCCTGAGCTTTCACCGCGGGGAATGAAAAGACGAGTGTCTGGAGGTGAAACTTTATTTTCTTAAATAGTGGGAAGATAACCCCCTCAGGAGGGAGGACGCTGAGGGGCTGGAGAAGCCTCTTCTCTCTGAACCCAGGCTGAAGACGCACTGGGCACCTGCTGCCGCAGGAGCCGGGGTGCGAAGGGTAATGGAGGAAGGCCGGCCCGCAGGCCCGGGGCGGGAGTGCAGACACTCCTGTCCCCAGACTGCCCTAGAAAGACCCTGGAAGGTTCGGGGTGCAGCTCAGACTCCAGGCTTATGGACTTGCCGTCCTGCACAGAGCCTCCACACCATCCCTCCCCAGGCTTGGGAGCCGGATGGAGGCGCCAGGACAGCCCACCGTCACTGGGCAGAGGCCTCCATGCCCTGCACCCAGAGGATGGTGCGGGTCCGGCTTTCCTCCCACGAGAACAGGGGCTCGTAGCCGAAGTGGCGCTGTGCCTTGTTGGTGCTGACCGTGAAGGTGGTGTTGGCCACGGCTAAGGTGTAGGGATTGAGCAGAGGTGCATAGAGCAGCAGCGGGCGAAGCAGCCACTGCAGTAGGGCGTTAAGGGCAGCCAGGAGCACCAAGAGCCAGTAGGGTAACAGTGGGCGGGTGCCCACGAGCCGCAGTCCACAGGGGCCCAGGAACTCCATGTTGAAATCCTCGTAGCTCTTATAGGGCGACTTGTCATAGCAGAAGTACACTTGACCACCCATGAGCGCGGCCCGCTGCTCCAGCTCCCGGGCCACCAGCACGTGCATCCAGGCCACGTTGCCTGCCGGTGGGGAGGGAAGGGTCGTGTGCTCCTGCAGGCTCTTGCCGCCCTGCAGTGCCGCTGTCCCGGGCTAGCCCACACAGAGCGACCCACTCGGGCCGCAAGATGCTTCCCACATCTCCACCACAGCCCTGTGAGGGCTGCTGTCCCCCCCGTCTTGTGGCCATGCTCTACTGGCGGCCGTGTGGCCATACTATTCTAGTCCCACGCAGATGCTGTTCCTCGCTCGCCCGGGAGCCACTGCCCTGCGCTGCGCTCCTCACTCGGCCTGTGACTCGGGTCTCCCCAGGCTCCCCAGCTTGCACAGATGCTGTTTCCGCCGTGGCCCGTGCAGATGAGTCTCACAGTCACAGTCCACCTGGGCCTGAGCACGCAGGGCCCTTCCCAGGCCACGCGGGGCCCGCCAGTCCCACAGCAGACCCTCCTGCCCTGTCTGTGGTCGCACCCTGCCCGGCCTTGTCCTTACCCACGTAGACCCGGCCATGCTCCACAGAAGCTGGGATGGCCCTGAAGAGCCGGCCCCCCAGCCGCAGGCCTTGGTGGTAGAAATCCCTCATGATCTGATGGCCTTCACCATAGATGCCCGTGGGACGTAGCGCGCAGGTCACCAGGGGCAGCCCCCCGTGGACCTGTTGGCAAAATGCAGCCATGGCTAGGACCTAGGACCCAGCAGCCACCTTTTTGCCCCAGCCCCCTGAGCTCCAGGTGAGAGAGAGGGCAGGCCCTGCCGTGTCCTGGGCAGCTCCCTCGGGCTGGTCTTTGCAGGCTCACCTTCCTCCCATTGGCCTCCAGGACCAGCCGCTCAGCCTGGGCCTTGCTGTGAGGGTAGGGGTGCTTGTGCACAGCCTCATACGGGGTGTCCTCATTGCCTCTGATGAAGGGAAGAGGCCTCAGTGCTGGGCGGACATGGGCCGCTAAGGTAACAGGAGCCTCAGCTCACCTATAGAAGGGGTGGCCTTTGATGTTCGGTCCCACAACCTCCATGCTGCTCGTGTAGACCAGGAGCCGAGTCCCCATCTGCACGCAAGCCTCGATCACGTTCTGTGTGCCTGGGGAAGGGGCGGTACCCGAGCTGAGGTTCCCCTCTCTGCAGCTTTCCCCTCCCGTGCCAGGCCCAGGGAGAACCGCAAGAGGCTGGGTGAGATGGAGACGGGGAGTGAATAATCACACGGACAGGACAGGTTGTCCTGGAGTCACAGGTCACGGGCGGAGGGAGTCGAGAGGGCTGGGTGCCAGGGAGCACAAGGCACGGCCGGAACGGTGGGGGGGCGGGCTCACCCTGCACGTTGACCTTGTGGATGGTCTCGGGGCTGGCCCTCCCAAACACGTCCACTAGCCCTGCCGTGTGGATGACCACGTGGGCTCCAGACACAGCCGCTGCCACCTCGTGGGCCTGGGTCACATCCCCCTGGATGGCAGTCACCTGCACAGGCCCTAGCAGAGTGAGAGGAGGCCAGAGGCAATGTCAGCATCGGGAGCATCAGCCAGATGCCAGGTTCAGCCCCCACCCTCTGGAGCCGCCTTACCAATATGACTCACTCGTCCCATCCGTGTGGACTAGAGAGTGTAAACAGCCCTCATCTTTTCCACCAGGGGGTGCCTCCAGCTTGGGAGGGGACAGGGAGACCACACCCTCCTTCCCACAGCCTCTGCCCCAGTCACCTGTCTTCAGCTCTTCCAGCCAGGGACTCAGGTGCAGGTCAAAGACACGCAGCTCACGGAGCCTCGGCTCCCGCTCCAGTAACATGCGCACCACGTGTTCGCCTAGGAAGCCGCAGCCTCCCGTGACCAAGTAGACCAGCTTCGGGGCCTCTGCAGATTCAGCCATGCCTGGCTGCAGGAAGAGACTCTAGCTCACCTGGGTTGCCTGGGGCCACCTGTCCCAGCCACTTGCTATTCATGAAAAGGCCTGGTGGCCCAGTGGACAGGAACCCAGGGCCAGGGGTCAGAGTTGTTCCTGGGAGCTGCAGCCCCTGGGTACTGCCCTCTGGTCCGGTGAACGCCAGCCGGGGAGTCACTGGGGCGTAAGGGCTGGGTACAGGAAGAGGTCAGCATTTGAGGCAGGTGGAGAGAAGTCTCGGGGCAGCAGAGGAGAGCGGGGAGGAGGAAGGCGCAGGAAGGTGGGAAGGGCTACCTGGGCCTGGTGTCTCCTCGGCCTACCTGCAGCTTCTGTCTCAGGACGCCCAAACTGGCCTCTGGAGAGGTGCTCTCCTGGACTGGCTGACCAGCCACACACCCGTCTTCCTTCCGCTTGCTTCTCCTCCCTCCTGGCCCATTCCAGGAACGAGCCCAGCCCAGCCCAGCCTCCACCCCCTCTGCCCTCGCAGTTGCCACAGCGCGCCCCCTGGTGGCCACTTGGCACGCCACTTACAGCAAAGCGGTTGGGAGAAAAGCCAAGACCTGCTGGGTGGGTACTGAGGGATTTGGGGGCCCAGGAGGGAGGCAGCAGTGACCTCATCCCCACAGCGTGACTTCAGTGCTCGCCTCCTGCTAGGTTTCCCCGGGGGGAAGACGCCCAGCAACAGCTGTGCTTTTGGGGAGGGGAGGGGAGAGGACAGGCCTGACCTTTGCCCCATCTGGCTGGCTTCGGTAGGGGTCCCTGGCGTGGCGTCGCAGCCTGGCAGGTGCTCCAGAACAGCGGCAGCTGGGTCTGCAGGTCCAGGCTCTCGCCTGGAAGCCTCTCCACCTGCTCCGTGCTTCAGGCCACCCCACCGTCTGCCCCACCCTGTGCCCTCCACCCCTACCCTGGCCTGCTCTTCCCCAAAGATACTGACGAAGCACTTTTGTACAATAAAGTTTAATCACAATTATAAAAATGTGGTGTTGAGTTTGCTATTAACATATGTACAATCCAGCCCAACAAGGGCCCACCCCCACCGTCCCGGCTGGCTGGGCAGGAGCCCCCAGACACCAGGGTGGGGGGGTGGCCCACGGGGTCTGGCAGGGACAGAAGCTGAGGCAGGGTCCCAGGCACGGAGCCCCCAGGACGGGCACAGGGCCCTCCAGGGAAGAGCACGGCACTGCCCCTAGAAACCCCTAAACCGGGGGGGCGGTGCACGCAGGGCACAAGGGGAAATCCCCATAACACAAAGCAGGAGGGCTGTCACCCCCAAGAACAGGGTCTGTACAGGCCGGCACCCCAGGTTTCCACAGGAAACAGCTGCTGGCAGCTACAAAACATTTACAGCTTCTTCTCCGCAAAGAAAAAAAATCAGGGCGGGCGGGTAGGCAGGGGCAACAGGGAGGCAGAAAGGGACCGAGGTTCCCTCGCTGGGCTCAGGGCGACAAACCCAGCCCTTCAAGACGTGGGCACGAGGGCCCGGCCGAGCCCACCAAGGCTGGGGGTGCTGGGAGCTCGGCACCAGGGGGAATAAATAGGGGTGTGGCCGGCCTCGCCCCACCTCAGTTGAGGGAGCCCCGGCAGCTCTCCGTGCCGCACAGGCACGGGATCTTGTTGTCCTCCAGAGGGAATTTGTAGTCGTAGGTGATCTCCTCGTCCACGCTGATGGGCTGCTTGGAGTAGATCACGATCTTCTTCTGCGACTCGATGGTTATCACCTTGGCGTAGCAGTTGGGCTGGAGAAAGGGCGGAGTGTGAGCCTGGGCCCCGCCCCCGCCCCCGCCCCCGCCGGCTCCCAGCGCACCGTGCAGCAGTGGTTGATGAACCTCGCCAGGTTGCCACACTTGGTAGCATCGATGATGGTGTCGTGGTCCACCCGGAACAGGTAGCTGCTGCCAATGCCCTCCTGCACATAGCGCTTCTCCCGCATGTCGGCCACCATCTGGTAAAGTGGGACGCAAGGGTCTCGGTCTGCTTCTCAGCATCTGGTCGGACCAGACCTCATCCCACCAGCTCCTCTGGACCGGCTATGAGCTACCCCTGCCGGCTCACAGCTCTCCCGACGCGGGTTCCAGAAGCCCTCACCGCCCTTTTCCCAGTACAGCGGGCTGGACGCAGGGCCTTCGCACTGAACTACATCCCCAGGTGGTACTTTTTATTGCGGTTCTAGAACTAAGGGCATTCAGCCCCCAGAGCGCTGGAACTGCAAGTGCTGTGCTGCACACCCGGCTCTGGCTGCCCTGATCCAGCCACCCACACGTGGGCTCCAGGGAAACCTGCACTAGTGCCTCTGAGGCCATCTGCCCGGCCAGTGCGGGGCTCTCGGCTGCTCACGGGGCTGAGCAGCTCCTACACTGACAGGTCACCAACACAGCCCTACTATCTCCTCCAGGACCCTCCCTCCAAAACAAGCGCCCTCGAGGTGCAGCTGGCCAACGCAGAGGGCAGACCGTCTGTGTCGTGACGTGGGCCTTGTGTGAGAACAGGCAACTCCTACTTCTCAGAAGGAGACAGGAAGCTCTGCACTCTCTCCCTGAGCGCTCCCACCCAGAGCCCTGGCCACCGGGCAGAAGAGGGGAGTTGTCCTGAAGCCCCGTCTCCGGCCAAACTCCATCTCGGTCAGGCTGCCGGCCGTTCACCCCGCCCCCGAGCTCCCAGGGCCCTGCGGCCTCACACTCTGACTGAACTCATCCTGGCGCACACCTCTGTTCCTCGCTCGCTCCCTTCTCAAAGGACCTCCATCACGCTCCAAGAAGCCAGCAGCAGCACCCCAAGAAAGGCTCACCTTCTCCTGCGCTCCTACAGCCATCCCACTGCTTGGGCCTGTCAGAACCTCCGGCCCACGGACCGGACTCCGCTGTCACCAGGCTGCCTCCGCCTAGTCGAGGCAACCCTCACCTTGGCCTGCATCTCTGCAACAGCCCCACAGCTTCGGGCCAGACGCATTCTCACTCCAGCGTGGCTGGAAGGAGCTCACTAACCTCTAGGTCCTCTCCTGCTTAGCTTCCCAGAGACCCCGTCTCCCACCACAGGCCCACACTTAGTAATAGGGCTCCTCGGTGCCACGGACACGGCTCCATCTGTCCCTCCAGGCTCTCATCACTGCCCTTGGCCCACTTTTCTACCTAGCCGTACCAACCTCATCCTTCTCTGACTGCTCTGTCTCTAGGTTTTTCACATGCTGTCCTGAAAGGAGAAGCGTACTTCACCCACTTACGCCTGGAAGTTCCTCCCATCTTTCAGCTCTCAGCTTAAACACCACGGTCTCTGGAAGGTCTTAGGTCCTGGTGTGAGTTCCTACCACCCTCACCGCCCCAAGCTTTTTTTTTTGTTTGTTTTTCTGAGGCAGGGTCTCGCTGTGCAGTTCAGACCGGCCTTGAGCTCACTTCAAAGCCCAGCCTGGTCTCGAACTCAACGATCCTCCTGCCTCAGCCTCCCAAGTGCTGGGATTATAGGCGTGCGCCACCACGCCTGACTCCTCTTTAATATCAAACACTATCCTTTATTGTTGCTACTTGTCTGATGTCCCCGCATTCTTAAAGGGAGAAAAAGTACCAGTGCTGATTCCTGCTAGACCACTAACATGTTTACGAGTACCTATTATTAATGAAGGGTAGTAGTGCACACCTGTAATCCCAGCACTTGGAAGGCCGAGGCAGGAATATCACTGAGAGTTTGGAGCCAGCCTGGGCTACACGGTGAGACCATCTCAAAAACAATCCAACCAACTAACCAACCCCACTAAAGAAGGATGGAACAAGGACACAGGTTTCACTGGCTATGTCTTGGGGCTGGGAGGGAAGTGAGGTTCCGTCCAGAGTGAGACGCTACTTGTGATATCCAGCGTTGTCTGGTGTCAGACCAAGAGCTGGTCGTGGGCTTGGGGCGGGAGCCTCACCTGGCGGATGTTCTGACCCACATATTCGATGACCATCTCGTCAGCTGCGATGGGTTCCATGGCAAAGAGACCCCATTCATGGATCCGGCTCCGGCCAAATCGGAGCTTCTTCTTCCGGAACTGGGGGGCAGAAGGAGACCATACTGCCGATGCCTCACTCCGCCTAGCCCCTTGCTTTTCCCGCAGACCTCCCAGGATGGCGGGTGTCTTGCCCACCCACCTTCCCACCTTCAAACCCCGGGGAGCAAAGGACTCTAGGAGCGCAGCTCTCCGTGCTTTGGCCGGGTCACCGAGCCCCCGCCCCGCTCCTCACCTTGAGCTGATTCAGCTTTAGCAGATCGCTGTCCATGATGGCTGAGGTGCCGATGGCACTCAGCAGCCGCCGCTGCTCAGACCGCCGCTCGGAAAGCACACGATTAGTCCCCTGTGAGGAGGACGGGGCGAGGTGACCAACAGGCGGCTGGGAGGCGGCGGCAGCGGGCAAGGGCTCAGGGAAGGGCCCCACCTGAGTGTCCACTCCTTCCAGCTGCCGTGCCGAGACAGGGCACACGTCCAGGTACTTGTCCTTCTCCTTCTTGCTGATGGGGTAGTAGCCTTCGCTGCGCGCAGAGCCCGTCTGGTGCTCCCGCGGCCCGTCCTGGGGCCGCCGCTTGCGCTTGGGAGTGCTCAGGTTGGTGAGTGCGGGGCGTTAAGGAAGAGAACGGGTCCCTGACCGCCCACTCCCTGGGGCCCACTCTCCTCTGCCCACCCCAACCCCAGCCCGAGGGGAGGGTGGCTACTCCGAGCTGGCGGGCACACTCGGTGTGAGGGGACAGATGACCCAGGTCAGGCTCAGACTCTGCCTGTTCCGCCAGAAAGTCTCGGAGGGGCAGAAAAGAGGCAGTGAGGCGGAGAAGAGATGGCGGGGCAGCCGGGGAGGAAGCTGCGAGGGCACCAGGCACAGCGAGGTGGAGAGGGAGGGGGTCGATGCAGCAGAGGACACCGCCCGCCCCTCGGCTTCCTGTCCTGCGCGGGCAGGGCAGACCCCGGGCTCAGGATATTTGTATGGTGGACCCAGTGGGTATCATTAAGCCAGTCGGCCCCACTGGTCTGTTGCAGCAGCCGCTCGTACGTGAGCCGCAGGTAGCTCATGTCTTCCAAGTCTAGGCCTGAGTTCCAAATGTCATAGAGGATGGTCATCTGCTCAAACTCGCTGCGGGGCTCGAAGGAGGGCGGCGGCGGTGGCGGCGGAGGGAGCAGGGGCCGCCGGCGCCGGGCATGGGAGCGGAGGCTGCGTCTCCGGCCAGCACCGTCCCCATCGCTGCTGCTGCTGCTGTTGCTGCTGCTCTCGGAGGACTCGGACTCTTCCTCCTCCTCCTCTCCCTTCCCCTCTTCCTGCTGCACCTGCAGCTGCTGCTGTGGCTTGGGCTCCTCTGCTTCAGCCACCACCACCTCGGGGGCCTCCAGGACCTCATCTGCCGGGGAGCTGAAGAGGGCCGCAGGGGCCGGGACCGGCTCCAGGGGCCTCAGGGCCGGCGTGGAGGGTGTGGGTTTGATGGCCAAGGCATAGTTGTGCTCCAGGAGGATGTGGCTGAGTGGGGGGCAGAAGCGGTCAGCCTCATCCGAGGTCTCTGTGGCCTCCGAGTCGTCACCGGGAGGCAGGGCCGGCAGGGCCGCCAGCCCGCGCCGGGTGGGGGTGAGGGCCAGGTCAGCCAGCACCGCCAGGTCCACTTCTGTGCCCGGCTCCACCTCTTCTTCCTCCGCGGAGCGGCCTCGGCCTCCAGCCCGGCTGCGGCCCCCTCGGGACACCTCCTCGGGCCAACTCTTGACCAGAGACGCGTGGTCCAGGGGCAGGTTGCGAATGGTCCGCTCAGCAGCCCGGGGGACTTTTCGAGACACTGGGCCTGGAGACTTGGCCTGTGGGAGGGCAGCCGGGGGAGGCTCTGGAGCCGGTGCCTCCTCCATGGCAGAGAAGGAGACAGTTTTCCGACGTTTCTTAGGCGGAGGCAAAAGAGGGATGGGAGAAGAGGGGCGCTCGTCCAGGCGGGGGGGCGGGGCAGGGGGCCCAGCCTGCGGCTCCGGGGCTGGCTGGGGTACACTGGGAGGCGTTTCCTCATTGGGATCTGGGGAGGAAGCACATGAGAAGGAGAACTGTCCGTGTCCAGGTCCAGCCTCAGAGCCCTTAGGGACAGAAGACTTGAGGCTCAGCTGGGCCGTGGCTGCCTCGTTTAACAGGTGGTGCTTGATCTGCCCAGCAAACTCAAGCCGCCCTACGAACACACCACCCACCCGGCCACGGGACAGAGCGCCCGCCCCACTGCGGGAGCGCAGCAGGCTCCCGACAGCGTGGGCTTCTGCACCTGCTCATTCAGCCAGTCACCAAGCACGCAGTGCACGCTACCATGCAGAGAACAGCGGCAACTCCTTCACGTCCTCACGGAGTGCTCAGTCCAGTGGGGGACGACGGCACAAACCAAACGCACAGCCACACTGTGACCGCACACGGGACCCTCGGCTTCCAGCCTTTTATTAGTCCCGACAGTGACAGAACCGCAGCCAACGACTAGGTACACGAACCAACACAACTTCTGTCACCACATTCTACAAGTCTCCAATTGGCCAGACTGAATTAAAATACCCATTAATTTAATTACAAACCATACTCTCTGGTTTATTGAGATGAACAAGATACAATGTAAGAATCTCAAAATATTTTATAAACTAGTCATGGCGGTTATTGCAAGCCCTGAACTCTGGTAGGCCGAAACAGGAGGATCACAAGTTTTTGGCTTTTCTTGTGTATGTGTCTTTTTGAGACAGTCCCACTATGGAGTTCAGGCTAGCCTTAAACTCAATTGGTAGCCCAGGCTGGCCTCTAACTTGCAACGAGGATCACAGGTTAGAGCCCAACCTTGGTAACTTAGTGAAACCCTATCTCAAAAAATACACAAAGGCTGGAGGTAACAGCTCAATGCAAAGGCCCTGAGTTCCTCATACCGAAAAAGAAAATCGCTAACACTTGCCTTCCTCCCCGACCCACCCACCACAGACAGGCTGGGGATGTGCTGCAGCGGGGAGTGGGGAGAAAGCCCTCAGTGAGGAAACCCAGGTCGAAGCTGAGAGCCAAAGGGTGGAGGAGGCGGGGAAGGGACGTCTCTCTGCGAGGCGCTGCTGCATGTCCCTAGCTGAACTCTCTCTCCGAGAGCTGCTGCCCTCCGTCCCTCATCCACGTGTGCAGCTCTCAGCCCCAGCTCGTGGCACAGCCTTAGTGAAGACTTGTCCCACTTCAGACACTGCTACCACCGTCTGCGCAGGGCCGGGGGGCTGGCAGCTGCACCCGGCTGCAGATGATTAACAGCTAGTACAATGCCCTGCACATCCACATACGAACTCACTGAATTCTACCAGCAGCGCGGTGGCCCTAGTGCCCTGGGATATGTGACTGAAACATACACTGATTGTTGAACAAAAATCTATTAGGGGCGGCTGGGGATGTGGATCAGTGGTAGAGCTCTTGCTTTGCACGCACAGGGCTCTGGGTTCGATCCCCAGCACAATATACATAAAAAAAAACCAATAATAATAATAATAAATAAATTTTTTTTTTTTTTTTTGGTTTTTTTTCTCCGGTACCGGGAACCGAACTCACGACCTTGCGCTTGCCAGGCAGGCGCTTTTGCTGCTGAGCTAAATCCCCAGCCCCAATAAATAAATTTTTAAAAGAAGATTCACAGGCTTAAAGAATATAGCCTCTCTGTGTTAAAAAAAATCTATTAGGGTACAAGACACATTGCCATCAAAGCCCTCCCCGTGCTTCCAACACACTTGCCCCATCATTCTTGCCACTTTCTGAAGTAGTTCTCGAAGTTCTTTCCTGACGGTCCGCTTGTCCTAAAATTGCCTCAAAATGTTTCTTTTTCATGGCCATCTTGATGTTGGAGAAGTACCAGGAGATATGCAAGGCCAGATTTGGTGACGGTGGATGAAGACATTCTAACCCTTTTACAATCCTGCCTGATACAGGACATCTGGCACAGCAGCCACTATACTTCTGACCACTTGTCAGAGACACCCAGGAAAGAGGACTTGCAGAACTGCTTCAGAAAGTGACAAGAATAATGGGATGAGTGTGTTCAAAGTAAGAGGGAGGATTCTGAAGATTAATAGCAATGTATCTTTTACTATAATAAATATTGTTTTTTCAAATTTTAAACATTCACTGTATATTTTGATCACCCTTTGGATATTAATGTCATCTTATAAACAAGAAAACTTAGGCACAGAGAGGTTAATAACCTTCCCAGCAGCACACACTTGGCAAGTGACAGTGACACGTACCCAGGCAGGCTGGGTTGAGCTCATCTTCTCACCTGCCAGCCTATGCTGCCCTGAATTCTGTGGACTCCTTGGCTCTACCACTCAGAACTAAAGGGCACACAGCACCAGGCCAGGCCTGAGAGGGCCTTGATCACCCTGTGTCCAAAGCCTCAACTGATGCTCCTCAATCTGACACCCGGAGGAAGGCCCTTGGCCTGCACTGTGCTAGACTGGATGGCACCTGGGATCTCAACCAGCAGCAATCCATAGCGAGAGGCTAGCAAGACCAGGTACTCGGTCCACGCTCCGGGTTCTGAGCCCCACTTCTCTCTACCAGGCTGCGCAGGAACATCTTTCCAGCCTGGTCCCCTGTGTCTTCCAGAAGCCTGGTTGTCAACGAGAGCAAATTCTCCTAGCAAGGCTTTTTCACGCACATTTCCCTGTGTTCCTCCACCTGGTAGAGGCTTGCCCAGCCCTGCCATTCAAGAGGTGGGAGGGGCACCTGGTCAATATAACCCCTACCTTTCTCTAAGAACTACTCTCCCGGGGCCCTGAGATCTGTGGGGCTAAAGCCAGTTTCTACTGCATGACCAGGGCCACTAAGATGGTGACCTGGCCCAAGCCTGCCCCACTGAAAGCTTCCCTGTGCAGAGGGACCTAGAACAGTAGTAGGTCTGTTGGGAGCCAGTGCTACGGTTTGGGGTGGGCCCTCTGCTAGAATGCAGAAGGCAAGAAGGACATCTGCAGCGGGTGAGAATGAAGCGCACTGGAAGACAAGAGAAACGCAGGGCCCAAGAGTGCACACAGCTCCCCGCCTCACCACTCACGCAGACACCCACATCAGGTCTAGAGGCCTCCACTGGCCTCCCCAGAAATGCTGCTTTGGGAAGGATTTCTCCCTCTTCTCCATCTACCTGTCGGCTCTTCCCTTCACACCCACATTTCACCCACTCTGAAAAGCTAAACCCTCCATCAACCCTGCATTCTCCTCTTGCTGTCGCCCCTGTCCCAGCTGGGTAACCTGACCACCTCCTGCGTGGCTCGCTCACTAAGCCTCCAGTTTCTCATCTCTGTGAAGTAGGAATAGCAAAAATGTCATACACACTGGATGACAAAGTGAGCTTTCAGCTGGGCGTGGTGGTGCACACCTGTAATCCCAGCACTCAAGAGGCTGAGGCAGGAGGATCTTTGTGAGTTTGAGGCCAGCCTGAGCTATAAAGTGAGCTCAAGGCCAGCCTGAACTGTATAGCGAGACCCTGTCTCAAAAAGAAAAAATAAAATAAAATAAAATACTATCTTTGTTATCTCCCCTTATTCCCTGGCACCCCAAAACTTGGCTTCAGTTTGAACCACTCAAATGAAATCGACACCAATGACCTGTCAGACCTGACACTTCTGTCATATCCTCTTGTGGCCTGATGATACAGACCACGGCTCCTTTTAAATCTGTTTCCCAAGCGCCTGCCTGGCAAGCGCAAGGTCGTGAGTTCGATTCCTGGTACCAGAAGAAAAACAAAAAAAACAAACACAAACACAAATCTGTGCTTCCCTTCATATTCAAAGCACACCCTCCCTGCTTCCCCTCCCTTCCCTAATCATGGTTTTTCCTGCCTCCTTGGGTTCCTTTTGCCATCTACCTGTCTCTTACAAGACTTTCAGGCTCTGGACCCTTCTCCCTCACGTGCTCGTACACAGGAAGCTCACACCAACATCCTCATTACTCTCGGGTATCTATCTTGTGTCTAGCCTGTGCGTCCCTGCATCAATGTATCATCCAACAGCCAGGGTTTCTACATGGAGGACCCAGGGGCACCTCAGATTCAACCCACACTAACTCCAGCTTTCTTCTTACTCCTGGTTCACTTTCCCGGTTCCTTCCCGGTAAGGAGTCCCCAAGTATTCTATCTCCTCAATTTCCTCTCAAGTCTTCACCTCCACTTCCGCTCTCCTGCACCTCACTATCACCACCCTATGGGGCTGCTGTCCTTACCTTACTTGCACTCCTTCAAGTACTTTTTTTCTGAGACAGGTCTTACCATGCAGCCCACACTGGCCTCAACCTCTCAATGATTCTTCTGCAGAAATTACAGGCATGCGCCACCACACGCAGCCATCCTCCACACACTCTTGGCATCCTCCCTCACCTCTTCCAAATCTCTCCACCTGCCAGAATGCCCTTTTTCAGATGCAGCTGTGGCCACACCCCTCTCCTTGCCCCACAGAGAAGCAAAGCTACTACAATTGATGCCTCTGAGCTGCCTACAGCCGCACAGGACTTTCGGCTACCAACGGACTCAGGAGAGGCTGGGAGTATCCGAAGGTTCACTCGGAGAGGCTCAACTCCTCGTCTTGTGGGATCTGGACACGAACAGCACACAGCAGCACATGAGGTCGTCCTGTGGTCCCTGCCCAACCTGGGCCAAGGACTGGCAGGAACATCCTGGTGGGAGCTCCCGCGGGGGCCTTGTGTGTCTCTCAAGTGCATCCTGAGAAGCGACTTCCTTCCTTCCGTGCTGCACAGCCTCTGCACAGTCTCTGCATCACACCGGCCCCTCTCCAGTTCTCCCTGCACTGCATCTTTTCAGACCACAAATCTACTCATGCTGCTCCCCCAAGGGCCTTCCTCCGCTCTCAAGATAAAGACCAAATTCTCTCACAGCCTGTGCACTTGGCAAGGCCTGGCCCTGACCCACCCCACTACCCCTAGCTCTCAACTCACTTTCTTCCAGGTCTTCTCACCTGCTGATTCTCCGATCTTTCCCTCCTCCCTGCTCTGTCTAGATTTCAGCCCAGCTGTGCTTCAGCAGAAAGGGGTCACCAGGCTTGCAAACGCGTGCACAGATTTTCATATGTTTACCGTTCAACTGTCTCTCTACGTAGACTGCAAGCTTTACAGGGGTGGGAACAGTATCCAATGGACGCACCACTGTATCCTTTGCACCTACTACTGGCTGAGCTAAGTACTCACTATCTACTGCATGAACAGTTTCCGGTACCGGGAATCAAACTCATGACCTTGCGCTTGCCAGGCAGGCGCTGTGCTGCTGAGCTAAATCCCCAGCCCCTGCATGAACAGTTTCCAAAGCAGGAAAAAATATATTTATGTGGTATGTACAATGGTATATGCAAATCCACAAAAGAAAGCAGAGGCAGAACTAAATTCTACGCTAATGCAAGCATTTGCCCATTTAAGCTGGGCGTGGTGTTGCATGGCTGTAATCCCAGTGCTCAGGAGGCAGAGGTAGGAGGCTTCTCACAAGTTTGAGGCCAGCCTGGGATACATAAGTGAATTCAAGGCCAGCTTGCACTACACAGTGAGACCCTGTCTCAAAAAAACAAAACCAAAACCAAAAAAAACAAAAAAACCAACCCTGCCCATTTAATCACCTGCACTTAAACCCACTGAAAGAATAGGCTTAACAATGAGGAGGAGGGGGCTGGGATATAGCTCAGCGGCACAAATGCCTGCCTGGCAAGCACAAGGTCCTGAGTTCAATTTTGGTACCAAAAAAAAATGAGGAGGAATTTATTAAATTGCAAGTTTTTCTACTGAACTTACTTGGGAAGAGATCATCCTGTTTTACTTTAGCAGGACCCAAACATTTTGTTTGGCTCTGTAAATCACTATGGCAGATCAGTTTTGAGTGTTAGGCCATTACGTCCCCAAGGAGGGAAGAGACAAGAGAAAAGTGACTTTTTCTTTGTATGTTTTCAGATCTCAAATCTGATCATGTCCCTCCTTGGAAGGCTTTCTACTGCTCTCAAGATAAAAACCAATGAAGTCACACACACTTGTATAAAATCAATGCAGGCTCCACTGTGCTTCAGACACACACACACACACACACACACACACACACACACTGAGTCACCAGTCGTGCACCACCTACCTGCAGGCCTTGCCGGAGACTTCTGCTCAGGGAGAGGTGTGACGGGGGAGCCTACCGCCCTTTCTGGCTCAGGCTCCTCCACAGGCGCTGGGAGAGGCTCTGGGACTTCCCTGGGGGGTGGTGAGGCTGAGGGAATGGTTGTTGGCTGCTCCTCTTCCTCTTCCTCCTCAGAGGAGGACTCCGATGATGAAGAGGATGACGAGGAGGAGGATGAAGAGGAGGAAGATGAGGTGCTGCTCTCAGAGTCCGATGTGCTGCCGTTTTCACCATCTGAGTCAGCATACAGAGAACATTTGGAGGACGAATCGCTTTCCTCGTCCTCGCCTGGAAATCCAGAAGGGGTAATCAGGCGAGGTGGGAAGACCCTCACTTGGTCAAGCTGGGGGTTTGCTCACGGATTCAGTGCTCTGGATATCTGGCTCTATGCCAGCTGCACGCAAGTTTGACATGTCAGGGAGCTGGCTAAATAAACATCTGCTCACAAAATGACAAGTATGAGTACAAGGGGCTGGAGGCCCTAGAGAAGCAGCCCGCACTCTGTCTGGATGAGCACATCAAGGAAGGCATCTCTGAGATGGAAATGTTGAAATCCAGAGGACAAGGAGCCATCTCACCATGCAAACACGGGATGTCACGCCAAACATGGATCAAGAGGGAGTGCCAAAGGCAAGAGAAGAGGGAGACTCCTGACCAGCAAGCCCTGTGCTCTTACTACTAAAGCTTTTCCCAAAATGGATCTTGCTTTTGTTTGTTTTTTGAGACTGGGTCTCACTACATAGTTCAAGACGCTAGCTTCAAACTCACTACATAGCCCAGGCTGGCCTCAAACTTCCTGTGATTCTCCTGCCTCAGCTTCCTGAGTGCTGGGATTATACGCATGTGTCACACCTGGCCTTCCCAGAGAGGAACTTAGGGGCAGCCTTGATGATGGCGTCCGTGAGGAAGGATTCTGGGATGAAACAAGCTTCAAAAACAACATGCTTTACACACTTAAGAGATCAGTAATGCATGAGAAGGGCCCTAAGAAATCTCGGAGCTCTACAAACTTCAAGGAGCATAACTGGGAAAATGAGAGCAGAAAGTAGTGGCTGAGGAGGGGCTGGCCGATGGTGAGATGGAGCTGAACAGGTGAGCAGGGCGAGGTTAGAAGGGCCCACAGTGTCAGGCTGGAGGAGAGCAGGGAGCCAGGAGGAGACTGTATAAAGAGAAGGAATGCATTCTAGGAAAGAGAATTCCATTAGCAGTTTGGAAGACAGAACAGAATGGAGGGAGAAGACGGAGATCAAAACAAAACTTAGTCAAGACTGCTGCAAGAATCTAAGTGAGAAAGACAGGACGCGAGAAGCATAGGAGATGACAAATCCAACCAACCACAAGGTAAAACTGATAGGAAGCGGTGAGCAACAAGATGGGAAGGGGTCTGGACCTTTACTCTCATCAGAAAACTGAGCCTTCTGCCTTGGTGAAGAGACTCTGGCCCCGCTGAAGTGGCCCTTCCACCGCACAGAAAACAGTGCATCTTTTCCAGGTCCACAGTCTGTCCCTCTCTACCCCATTACTCTATTCTACCTTCTTCAAAACACAGTCTCTGTCTGAAGTGACAGGGTTCATTTGTTTGTTAAGCCTCTCCACCTCCTTCCAACCAGCTCTCAAAAGCAGGAACCACACCTATCTCCGCCATGTACCCAATACCTGATAGAACATAGGGCACCAGAGTGCCCAACCATGCAGAGGAGTCTGGTTATGACAGCTGTGAGGAAGGGCAGCGTGGGGGACAGAGCCTGGTTGCTGCACCTTGAACGAAGAGCAGTATTCAAAGGTGGGAGGGGCAGGCTGGCTGCATCCACGGACAGAACACAGATTTCTGATCTCCAGCACTTAGGGAAATTTTGCTAGGATGTCCTCAGGAGAAGAGGTAAGCAGGCGAGAACGTTCTGAGTACCAGGTTTAATGTATCCAGAGGGCTAGCACCTCAAAGCACAGGGCTAAGCGGCTGCTATCGTGGAAGGCCCGGGTGGAGAGCAAGCCCCGCAGAACGGCTGGGTGGGCTCAGGAAGGGGCACGCCAGCTGGCTGAATCCCTTCCTCCCCAGGCCAGAATTCTGTTCAACTGTCCTCACCGTCTGATGCCTCCGTCTCCTTCTTAGTGGTGTCCACGGCCTCCTCCCGCTCTTCATCTTCCTCATCTTCCTCCTCGTCATCCTCATCCTTAAGGAAATGAACAAACGGGGATTAGCAGGAAAGCAACAACTGCTTCTCCCCGAGCCTCGCGGCCTGGGTTTTGGGCCAGAGAGATGGCGGCCATGGAACAGGCACTGGGGAAACAGGCTTCTAGCAGCGACACGACACCCCGGCCCCTTGCCTTGTCGGAGGAAGACTCCTGGGAAGCCTCTTCCCCTTCGCTGTCCAGAGCAAAGGACTTCCGGTGCTTGCCCTGGGTCTTTCCTCGCTCCTCATCTCGCTTTGGGGGCTTGGTCCCCGGGCGTCCTGGCTCGCCAACCTCCTTGTCTCGTTCAGGATCTGGGTCAGGTGAGTAGGGGTTAGGAAAATTCCCATCAACGATACACTACTGCTCCCCTACCATGTGCAAGGAGCTTTCCTTCCACTGCTGCTGAACTTCCTGACGGCCCGTTCAGAAACTCAATAGAGAAACACCAGTCTCTTACAGTTAGCTAATGTTTTATGGTTTTTAACACATGCCACCCATCTTATCTTTTGTCTTTCTGAGCTGGGTGGAAGAAGGAGCCTACTTGTTATGCCTGCCCCAAGGCAAGAGCACTAAGGCCAGTAGAACTCCAGAGAAGTACACATGAAGAGAACTCCAGAGAGAAGAGAGTACACATGAAGAGAACTCCAGAGAAGTACAAACTTTCCATTCAATAAGGAAGTTTCCCAGCCATGGGAGCTTTTAGCCAATAGATCAGACTTGACAGGTTGAGGGGAAAGCTGTAGGAGAATATAAGCCTGAGATGTTAGACATGGGTAGGCGATTGTTTAACCTCAGAGTTCTGTGATCCCAGATACTGAAGTTAGTACTTTTGTTTTGTAGGAGGAAAACCAAGATACAGGAAAACATAAATCAGCATACTACAGTAGTAACCTCAACTACAATCCAGGGAGAACCCCAGAGGATGCTTCTGACGCCTCTTAGAAGTGCTTGCTGTGATGTAGTTCAGACTGGCCTCAAACCCATGGTCATCCTCCTGCCTCAGCCTCCTGAGTATTGGGATTATAGGCATGGGCCAGTAAGCTTTCACATTCTACCAAGAGACCTCTACTTGGCTCTCTGACCTCAAGACGTCTTTATCCTTTTATCTTGGCTTCTTCCCTTCCCACCAGAACCCACAGAGCCCACTCCCATTCCCCTTCCAGCAGGGCCCCCACCCACCGTCCTCATCCTCCTCGGCTGGAGTGGACGGCCTGGGCCTCTTCTCTTCACTGGCCTCTGAGATTTCTGATGGTTCTTTCCGCTTCACCTGGGGGACAGGTAAGAGATGGGGCCCACTCAAACCACACACACACAGTTCCCAAATACCTGGAGCCCAAGGACAGCAGGCCCTCTCCCCACTCTCCCCACCCCCACTTAGCAAGACCACAGTTCTGGATACCTTAAAGGAAGGCAGCCGCAGGGCCCCTCGCAGCCCTGACCCAAAGGTGAAGGCCTCGATGCCTGTGGTACCCCCACTCTTGGCCCAGTCTACGAGGGACAGCATCCCTGGTTCTTTCAGCTTGGTCTTCTCTTTATCCTCCTCCTTGGCTTGCTGTTTGGCTGCATTCTGGAATGGCTGTGGGCAGCAGGAGACTGAGATCCCAGGCATTCCCTCCTGTCAGACCCACTCCAAGGCCCCAGGACCACCGAAATGCATTTACTTGTCCTCCTCCTTGGCACTATCTGTTACACCTCTACCAGCCATTTATAGGCATTTTTCTCAAAAGTCCACTTGTTTAGCCCATAAACCTTAGGCAACAACTACTATTTCTTCTACCTCTAAATGGCAGCAATGGAACCTGGACCAAGTTCTTCCAACTCTCAAGCCCTCGCTTATCTGCTGCTCTGTGCCCCGAACTTCCTTCCCCACGGCTTTGTCCTGTGCAGCGCCCACAGCCTGCCTTGCACTCCACTTGCCTTGATCTCTTCCCACCCCTACTCTGAGCCGCGCAGCTGCAGAAGCCCGAGGTCTACCTTGTCCAGAAGTCCCAAGTTGCCTCACCTCAGGCACCGACTCTCACCTTAGCCTTCTCTTCCTTGCTTTCCCACCACTGGTCAAAGGCCCCAAAGGCCACGTTCTCCACCATCTTGCGGTTGAGGTCTCGCTGCATGATGCTCTTCATCTCTTGGACGAGGGTAGCCAGCACACGGCCCACAGTGCCTGCTGACGGCAGGGCCTTGCCTTCTGCCAGCTCCGCTTCCTCCCTGGGAGGCAGCCGGGCCTCTTCTCCTGAGACTGAGGAGGAGGGCAGGGGCTCGGCTGCCATGGGCAAAGGCAGGTGATAGGCCTCCCGAGAGTATGCCCCTCGGCCTTCCTGCCCTTGTGTATACAGGGCATAAGGCAAACCGTAGGCTGCCTCTTGTGGAGGCGGGAACGGGAGGAAGGCTTCCCCGAAAGCCCCACTGGGAGGACCAGCCGAGGCAGCGGTCAGTCCCTTGCCCTGCCGCAGCTGGTGGAGCCGAGTTAACATCTGGGTCTGCATCTGGAAGGACATGGGCATCCCTCCCCACTGAGCCCCAAGTCGATCCATAAGTTCCAAGGAGTTCACAAAGTCATAGATGTGGGGTGGGGGCGGAGGAGGTGGAGGGTACTCAGGGGGTGGCGGCCCATCCGGCCGCGGTGGGAGGAGGTAGGTAGGCTGGTGAGGAAAACCAAGGGGGAGGGAAGCCAGGTACG